GGTATTAAAGCCAAACGGCTGCAGTACAACGGGAATCAGCCATCGTTTTCTGGCGAGATCGAATTCCGAATCCTTTTGTGATACACGTTCATACGAAGTGAAAGTCTTCCCAACAATGCCTTTCAAATAATTCGTGAAAATCTTTCAGATATCCTGGCATTACGTGGTCGTAAACCGTACCGAGTTGGATTGGCTGTTTGCTGTCGTGCAATCTAACGCTTGAATAATAAAACATAAAAAGCTTCGTTTATATTTAAAAGAACCAAGTGGTTATTCGCGTTATCCAAGATTAAGATTGAGTTGGGTTTGAGTGTATTCATGAATAAGCTAACGATGACCGGAGAGAAAACCAAATTCCGGGTCCAGGGATGTTATTTTACACATTCTGGTTTTCGGGTTTGATTCCAAATCTAATAATAACCTAAGGCCAACTCTGAAGGTACTTTGGAAGAGATGTGTTCAACGCATTCAGCAAGATTGACATAAAATAACGATAAGAATTGGGGAACAGGCTCCATTACCATTGTTCGAGTCCATCTGAGCCATGGGGCACTCAGCATTTTTGGACTCAACGGTGGCACTAGTACGCACGAGCATGGCCTCGGGGCCAGGTACGAAGTCATCATAGGCGGTCTCCGTCCTTACGGATGCTGGCTTAGAGATGTGATCTAGAGTCGAAGACGGCCCGCCACCCGAAACGGAGACAGAGGCTCCATCAGTGAATGGTAATGTCTCCCGCTCTGATGCAGAGCCTGCGCTGATGTAATGCAGCAGACAGAGCAGGCAATTGACAGCCGCCTCGGAAAAAATTGCCACATTATTGGGATTGGAAAGGAAAATCTACAGAAGAAAAGAGATGCAAGCTGTTAATTGAATGGATGCAATACTAGAGGTTATCGGGCAAAAGTTAAGGATGGATTGCCCAGGGTCGGACAATAGGAAAACATAAATCAAATAAAATAATATCACACTACTTAAAATATATTTAGTATTTCTATAGGAGCATCTAAATATTTGCCAGAAAATTTAAAGTACATGAATTTCCTCCATAGCTATAAATTAAAGGAAATTAAAACCCGTTTAATGAAAATGAAAATTTTTGATATTTACTTTGGTCATTCAGGTCAACTAAATTATAAAAAATACATGACAAATCACCTGAAGTATTTTAGAAAAATACCAGATAAAGTATCCATTTATACATTTCTGCCGTGGAAGTGTTATTGATAGGTTGGCTAAAGTAGGCCAATGCTAGAACAGCACGGGCGAAATAATCTAAAAATCTGTTTGTGGACAATAGAGCCTCATTTTCAGGTTATTGCTTAAAGAGCTGAGAGATTATCTGCCCACGATGAAGTTGAAAAGTCTTTCATAAGGCAACAATGATAATAATAGAATATGAAGACCAAGCTGATGTGGCTTTAGGTTTGGTCGCAGCCTCCTTTCACTGTATCGAGTTTGTTTCAGGGAGGCTAGACTCAGTCCTGCGTAGTTTGCCCCAGTAGTCATGATAAGCTCCAGTATCAGGCGGGTGACTAGGTACATAACGAGGCGTTTCGTAGTCAATGGATCAAGCCGACGGTCCTATGTTGGAATTTGTCATGACTACTAGGGCAGACGACGCAAAACTTGATAGGCTCTCCGAAGTCTACCTGAATAAGTTGCGAAAAGGAGATAAAACCAATTAAACGATAAGTTAGGCTTGGAAATAAGAAATACAAATTTCCTCATACTAAATCTTTGCATGTCTGGAAATCACCTCGAATATTTCCATTATCGCCTCGCCTTGACGCTGTTTTCCCTCTACAGCTAGACCTATGTTGCTGCACAGACCTCTGTCGCCGAGATGGCTGAATTCGTCTGTCATGCCTAGTGGTGAAGAGGTTTCAAGTAAACTACCACCACTGTCACAAGGCCGAGATAAGAGATTCTGAGAGGCCGCAGTTGCATGCTTGGCAGGAGAACTTTGAGGCTCGTCATAGGCGATAGTGCAAGATGTAGCCGTTGACTGCTCCTCGATTGTTTCCGTATACTTGTCATTAGGTTGGGAGAACAATTGAGGGCTCTCGGGTTGAGGCAGGAGGAAATCGAGTCGAAGTGAGCGTAAAGCTGAGAATATAGGCCGCCAGCCAGACTGGATGTGAGCACTACAGGCTTCAACCAGCTCACAGAGGCAGCTGACTATCCTATCCTGAAGGTCGGAGTCACAGAGCTCTAAAGGTAGTTAGTTAATGAGGGTAAACGAAAAGAAGGGAGACAACACATACAGCATAAAGTAATTTAAGCAGGATCTTCATTTGTGAAATGAGATCCTGAGTTCAAAAATGTCCGTGCACCTAAATACAGTATTTGCGCACTATGGTGTGCAGTACAATCATATTGTGGCATCATGCATTCGCTTAAAAGTGAAGGCAGTAAGATGAGAGATAGTACAGAAGAGCATAAACAAGGTGGGCGACTCGCTTCTAAATAAAAAGTGTAAATGAATAGAATTTGAAGTTTTTATGAAGGCGAAATGAAGTTGCAGACACAAAATTCTACATTTTTACACAATATAACAAAACCAATCGCTAAAAAAGCTTTTGGCTCAAGCTTGCATAAGCAATGAGCTTGATGACTGATGAGCTTAATCTAAAATGTTAGACGAGTGTGAGTAAAGTTAGAACCAACACTGAGCAGACAAATTGAGTCGCCTTCTTTTTGACGGCGGCTCAACACACACTCTCTTTCAATCTATCAATGAAACATAAGTAATTCCTACTCAACTTTCTACCTCCGTTCCTCACATTCA